AGTCTAACACCGACTCATCCTCCTCGGACGAGTACACTACGGGCCTCGCACGCTTCGCCTTCCGCGTCTCCCGTTTGATGGTGAGTCCGGCAAAACGCATGCCTTCAGCCGCCCTAGCAGCCTTCTGCCACTCCTCCAGGTGGCCCTCATCCCTACCTGCTCTTCCTGACGCATTAGACACACCGCAGGCCAGGTCGCCTACCTGCGATGCACTTCCTGACGCATTATCCAGAGCTGGGGCCAGGTTGCCTACCCCAAACTCCTGGCAGTCGTTGGTTGACGACGGCGGGTGGCCTGCCCTACCACCACCTGACACCGCCGTGGCATGGGTATCCCTCCCATGCCCGCTTATTCCATTCGTCGTACTCATCATATTTTTTTTTTTAATATAAGGGAGCCAGGCTCCCCAAGGGAAAGGAAAGGAACGGAAGGAAGCAATAGAGAGCAAAGAGTAGAAAAGAGAGTGATAGAAGAGTAAAGATAGGAATAGCCATACGAGAACATTCATACACCATTCATACAATCCCTTTTAGTCGCCTCATACGACAAGCAGGGAATACTGTGGGAGTATTCTAACCCCCTACCCACAGGGGGAACCCTGACGCAACCCTGACGCAACCCTGACGCAACCCTGACGCAACCCTGACGCAACCCTGACGCAACCCTGACGCAACCCTGACGCAACCCTGACGCAACCCTGACGCAACCCTGACGCAACCCTGACGCAACCCTGACGCAACCCTGACGCAACCCTGACGCAACCCTGACGCAACCCTGACGCAACCCTGACGCAACCCTGACGCAACCCTGACGCAACCCTGACGCAACCCTGACGCAACCCTGACGCAACCCTGACGCAACCCTGACGCAACCCTGACGCAACCCTGACGCAACCCTGACGCAACCCTGACGCAACCCTGACGCAACCCTGACGCAACCCTGACGCAACCCTGACGCAACCCTGACGCAACCCTGACGCAACCCTGACGCAACCCTGACGCAACCCTGACGCAACCCTGACGCAACCCTGACGCAACCCTGACGCAACCCTGACGCAACCCTGACGCAACCCTGACGCAACCCTGACGCAACCCTGACGCAACCCTGACGCAACCCTGACGCAACCCTGACGCAACCCTGACGCAACCCTGACGCAACCCTGACGCAACCCTGACGCAACCCTGACGCAACCCTGACGCAACCCTGACGCAACCCTGACGCAACCCTGACGCAACCCTGACGCAACCCTGACGCAACCCTGACGCAACCCTGACGCAACCCTGACGCAACCCTGACGCAACCCTGACGCAACCCTGACGCAACCCTGACGCAACCCTGACGCAACCCTGACGCAACCCTGACGCAACCCTGACGCAACCCTGACGCAACCCTGACGCAACCCTGACGCAACCCTGACGCAACCCTGACGCAACCCTGACGCAACCCTGACGCAACCCTGACGCAACCCTGACGCAACCCTGACGCAACCCTGACGCAACCCTGACGCAACCCTGACGCAACCCTGACGCAACCCTGACGCAACCCTGACGCAACTTCGGTCGGAACCAGACACAACTCAGTCGCTACCCTGTCGCAACTCTGACGCAACTTCGGACGGAACCAGACACAACTCAGTCGCCACCCTGTCGCAACTCTGACGCAACTTCGGACGGAACCAGACACTACTCAGTCGCTACCCTGTCGCAACTCTGACGCAACTTCGGACGGAACCAGACACTACGCAGTCGCTACCCTGTCGCAACTCTGACGCAACTTCGGTCGGAACCAGACACAACTCAGTCTCTACCCTGTCGCAACTCTGACGCAACTTCGGTCGGAACCAGACACAACTCAGTCGCTACCCTGTCGCAACCCTGACGCAACTTCGGACGAAACCAAACACATCTCAGTCACTAGACGGTCGCAACCCTGACGCAACTTCGGTCGGAACCAGACACAACTCAGTCGCTACCCAGTCACAACTCTGGTGCAACTTCAGTCGGAACCAGACACAACTCAGTCGCTACCCTGTTGCAACCCTATTGCAACTTTGGTCGCAGCCAGAAGCAAACCAGTCGGAACCAGACACTACTCTGTTGCAACCAGACCAAACTTCAGTTGCAACTCATACCTAACGTCAGTAGCAACTTCAGTCGTTCGCAGACGTAACGTCAGGCACAACTTCAGTCGCAACTCAGACTCAATGTCGGTCGCAACTTCAAGTGCAACTTTGGCGCCACCCCGTCTACAATAAATTATATAAGTAACACGCAATTGCAAATTTATTGCAACAGAGTATTGTGTTCATTCGATTTTTTCGCGTCTCTCTCCTTTCTGCCCTCATATATTATTATGTAATACTTCCTATGGATATGCATTTATGGCAGAACAATTTCTATCGTTGCATACATACATGTGTATACATCCTTATATATTCTTATTATTAATTTGTTACATATATTTATTTGTTGGTTTGTTTAGATTGATTTCATATATATTTATGTTAATCATCAATAATTATGTTTCAACTTGTTCCTCCTCGTATATAAAAAAAAAAAAAAAAAAAAAAAAAAAAAAAAAAAAAAAAAAAAAATCTGTCAATCTTTTTCGTCCGTTATTCCTTTTTTACAGACGGTACTACGCATGTACTACTTGTATGAATAACCACACTCCTGTAGCATTTACATAATCTTCGAGTTTTGTAGCATATATCGTAATTATTACAATAAGGTAATGTTTTTGTGCAAATAGAAGATTTGCAAAATAGGTGCACTGTGTGTGATAAAAGGATGACGAAGTGAATCTATTTGCTATCTGTTTTTTTTGTTTTGCACATTCCAGATTGCTTTGACATTTTTCATTCCGTTAAGAGGATTATCGATTTCATTAATTAGTTGTATGTTACACATTTTAAAGACTTTTTTTAAATATTTTAACGCTCTTAACATCTAACCTACACTTATTCAAATAATAAAAATTATGTTGATACAACCGATGCAAACATTATATCCATAAAAATAATTTCAAATTTCAAGTATTCTTATTAATATTTATTTTTACATGTTTTTTAACGAACTAAGAAATTGTCAGCGCAATTCGCAGTGAAATTTCAGAAGTATTTAGAGAATTTAGAAGAAGTAGCGAGTTAATAGAAAGCCGATGTAATATCGTAAATTTCCAAATATGTCGTTTTTTCGAAACAAGAAATTATTCTTGTATATAATCTATAACTATTTAATAGATACCAAAGAATAATTAGAGAAATACTATAAGAAAAAAAAAATGAAGGAAAAAAAAATCAAAGATTAAAAATAAACGTGTCAAAAAAGAGGACACCCCCATTAGCAGAGCATGGTTTCGATCCACGGACCTCTGGGTTATGGGCCCAGCACGCTTCCACTGCGCCACTCTGCTTGTTGGTTCTTAGGTACTCTAATAGGTCATATATTTGTGTAGTTTTCTAATGCATAAACAAATATACTATGTAACATGTAAATAGAATAATCTAATTTTTTATTTACATTCAATACAGATAATACATTGATATTAACACTTCGCAATGTTGAATACTGCATAGCCCATTGAGTTTATTTTTCTTAAAGATGTGCCATTTACTTTATTTCTGTTCTATAAAGTGACATGTATTTTGAGAAAAGGGTTGAAATAATATATTCACAGATGTGTCTTTTTTCTCCGTTTGTTACATCAATCGCGAGGAAGTCTCCCCTCCCTTGTTCTTCTGCCCCCTCTCCAACTTCTACGTAGGATAATTCTCCGGCGCGCTAGAAGGTAAGTACTTACGCGGGTGCGTGGCAGTGGGAGTACGAGCGTAGCCGCGTCGACGATGCGTACGGACAGTGTGTACGGTACTCGACAGTGTGAACGGCCGTCGACGTCGCCGTTCTCGAGGATGTGTATTAAACCTACGTCGCTCGTAATAACTACAGTGTATGTGGTCTCTATTCTCTCTCTTTCCGATCGTCAATAGTTGGCTCGCCCGACTGCCGTGAGGGTAGATACTTTTTCTCTTTTTTTGCTTTCCTTTTCTTTTTTCTTTCTCCCTACTTTTAATCTTTTTTCGCTTTTCTCTCTTTCTCTCTCTCTCTCTCTCTCTCTCTCTCGCACTTTCCCTCTAGACTCTTTTTCCACTTCGATCGTTACTCGCCGGTCATACATATTATCGTTGCCACGACGCTTCGACGACAGAGAGTAGTGTGTGAAAGTGCTATACTTATTGTATAATCCGGGGTAACGAGAAAGAAGAATTGAACATACTTGTAGGATACATATCGCAACGATAGGCAAAAGAACGGCCAATTACGAGAATTACATGGATACATGAATGAAAACTTCAGGTGGGCCGGTGAGATCTATCAAAGAAATCGACGCATATCAAAGTTCGGCTGTTTAAAGAAAGAAGGAAAGAGGAGAATTTTTAAAGGAGATTTGTCGACATCGTTTATCAGGTGTCGATCTCTCATATCAGGTAAAACACCTATTGTTTTGTGATTTTTTCTTTTTTTTTTTTTAATAAACGCAAGATCGTTCGAACTAAGCCTTTAGATTTTAGAGGTTACAAAGTCGTGTTTGTTTGTGTGTGTGTGTGGTAATGAACGGATGTACAACTTTTGTGGATTTGCCGATCTATAATTTTCACGCGAATTGTCACGTGTTATACACGTGTTGCGAATAAGAATCGCGCTTAAAACTAGATGGATCGTTTCAGAAATTCTTGTCTCATGTATACATAAAGACATGAACATGTAATACTGAAACGTAATCTTTTTTCGTAATATTCGTAACAGTTTAATAAACTATGTGATATAAGTTAAGTAAAAGGCATATATAGATATATTTTTTCTCTTTATTTTAAAAGAAATGTCTACACAGAGTTTCAACTTCTCTTTTTGTTTTTGTCGACCTTACAATCTTTTAAATCTCTTAAAATTTCAAATTAAAGATTGTTAAGCGATTCACGTTATTAATAAAATTTTGCCAATTTTCTATTCCCTCTATAAAAAAATACGTTGTTATTTTGCGTTAAACGATCGTTGAAATCGTCATAATGATATTAAAAGAGAAATGGCGGAAATCATCATGAATGTTGTATCTGTACGCATCATAAGTTTCGTTTCGCAATGATAAACTCAATAAAAGTGTGTTCGTGTTCACGCGATCGTAAGAAAGTATAATATTAATTTCCTTTATAACAGTAAAGAGAGAGTGAGAGTGTATGTGTGTGCGCGCGCGTATGAGCGTGTGTGCGCTCGTGACGTACCTTCCATGAATTCCTTTTCTATATCTCCTCGATTTTATTAAAGATCCGAGAACTGGTCAATCTGACCAAATTTGGTGAACTTTTGTCGGGACAGGTGGGACATTGCATGGATATATCATGCGGTAATATAACTGTTTAAGTACTTCGGTATTAGCGCGTCCATTCGCAATTAGTGAATGTATATTTATATTTATTCGCATATTCACTCGCATTGGATATCGGACGATATTAAAAATTGAGTAGGTTTCGTCGTTCTTTCTCCGAGTTTATCATTTTAATTAATTAATTTATTATTTTGATATGAATAATAACCATTTATATCAATCTCGATGTATTTATAATATAGAATAATTTACAAAAGATGCAATAAAGGATGTATATAATAAAAATATTTTTTCAAATAGGAACGATAACGGCGCCACGTAATTATGTATGATCCAATCGAACTGTTGCGCCTCAATAATAAAAATTAAAAGAAAAGAAAGACCTATTTTTTAAGCTTATTATCGTCGGCGTAACAAATTCGTGGAATGATGGATTATCGAGGGACGAGCAACGCATCGGTGAATCGTTTGATCGCAAAGACGCATATATTTCAAATATGTACTCTAAACACTTCCGTAAAGCCAGGCGCGTGGCGTGGCGTGCCGTGCCGTTGAATCGCTTGGACCTAGGGCAGATGCTGGGCGGCTGTTTTTACACGTTCTTCAAAATGTAAACACGAAGATCGCTTCGGGGTCTTTCCGTCCCTGCGCTTCGGTCTATACGTGCACACATGTCTCTATGTGCATTCATCTGTAGAAAACATAGAGAACGAAAAAGGATCATTAAGAAATGCAATGCGTTTTTCAAGTTTGCGGCTAACGGTTAATTCTTCGGTTTGCGTTTCGTGCACGATATGAGGCACAAGGGGAACGGCAGGAAAGTGACGGGAGTTAGGAAAGGAAAAAAAGAGAGGAATAACAAATATACTCTCTTTTTTATTTATGCGTATATGTACGTGCCCTCTTATTCCAACTAGGGTCCTCCTTTTACATACATACAGTAGATATATCTACTTCATATATCTAACGACCTTCATATTGCCGCGAATTCGCACATTTCACGTTCCCCATGGTAGTTTAATGTTTGCCTGCTCTCTTCATTTTGATTAAATCCCTCGACTAGCATGAACGGTAACGCTACCGTCTCGCCTTGACAAATTGATGCTGATATAAATAACTTGCGCGCGCGTATCCATATAATCACCCAATAAAAACTCAGCAAAAGAAAAGCTATTCGCTATTTCGCGTGATCTATTTCTATTCTTTTTTCCTTCTTCACATTAATATCGACCTTCCTTCCATTCGAGAATGAATAACGCTATTAACCCATCCAACTACATCGTCATCCGATAAAATTTTGTTAGGGTCGAAACACGCGAACTGTATCGAATTTCTACGATCTTATGTACTTAATATATCCATAATATTAAATTATAATATTATATAGCGTTTAGTTCAGGATATATCAAATTTTATGCTGAAAATCTTGTCGTTTCCGCGACGACTCTTCCAATTCATTTGATAATAGAATAGAAGAAAAAAATACTCTCTCTCTCTCTCTCTCTCTCTCTTTCTGATCATCGTAGGAAGATGATTTCTTCTACTCAACGAGTTGCACAAACACGGATTAATTAATTTCTTTCCTTTCTTCGTCCATACGTGATGTATCTATATACGTACATTTATAGTACGTATTTTACGTCTTACGTATATTCCAAGTACAGACAGTTTAAAACAGTAGGAGATCAAGTGTTTATGGTAGACATAAAGCGATAAAGAGGTAGTAAGTACGAATGCATGGGTGTGTCATCGTACGACCGAGTATTTTCACGCCATTATTTGGCTGACGTCCTAGTGGTAAAGGAGCATGATAAGAAGGAAGAAAAGAAGTCGAAGAAAAATATCCGTTTGCTCGGGATCGAATCACATTCGGTCTTCTTCACGGTCAACGTGTTTGAATCTTTCGGTCCAAAGATTTTAAAAGCTTTTAAATCATATCAAAGAGATAGATAGAAAGAAAGAAAAAAGGCGAGTAAGAGAGAGTCCTTCGTTGATGGCCTGCGCTATCGTACAACTAAAAGTCGTTATTAATGGACCCACGTCTGTAAGAATATCTCTCACGACTTATTACGTTCTTGTTCGTTCGTCTTCGTTGATTTAATGGGAAGGTAATGTGATGGAGAATCAGTAATAAACGTTCAAACATTTTTCTGACATTCGACATATCTAGGCAAACGTATGCGAGATAAAATGATATGCATTTAGCTGCGTACGTATACTCGATCGGTCGTTTGTTTTCTTTCTCTTTCTTTTTTTTACGATTGCGACACGTTGACATCATCAAAATATAAATTAAATTAGCAATAAATATTACGATAGCAAGTTAGCGGGTTAACCGTTAAATCAAATCAGTACCAATGATGGAAAGTTTTTGCAGTGTGAGAGATTGCGTCAGGTTTGCATACCTACATAAGTATACATGCATGTATGTACGTATGTACTTACGTATGATAGGTATTTAGAGATCTAAACGCGTACATCTCACCGTTCACCGTTACCTGTCGTTACGATGAAAATAGCAAAGCTCTAGCGAGCGATATTTCACTCGCAGCGAAACGTAAGTTCTCTCTTAGGAAGTAAAGGGTTTACAAGAGGACAGGGTGAAAAGGGATTCTCACGGAACAAACGGTTCTTTGAGACATCGCGTGTTCCGCGACATAATCGTAGAGAGAGTGAACTACAAAAGGCCTAGACAAGATAGAGATAGCTTTAATTTACTCACTCTAAGTGCATTTGATCGTATATCATCGTAAGCGACAAGGGTTTACATTGTTCATCGTTTTCCTTAACAACAACAACAACAACAACAACAGCGACGTGCCACTACTTTTTTAGCATTACTCATTCGTCGTCATTACATTCGTCCTACATTCAGTTTTATTAGGTGTATCACGAAAGAAACTTGAGTCATCTCGTGTTTTGAGTACAAGGGCAAATTCGAAATAAAAGGAAAAAATAACTAATCGCATTTAGTCGCGATAGTCATTAATCACTTAAGGCAGATCAACGAGCGACTCGTGAGCCGTATGTGACTCTTTTACTTGCTTGTTCCTGTAAGGTGTGAGGATCCCCGCCGTATCGTGCCGAGCCTTGTGAGCTATGCGGCTTTTGTTTTTTTTTTCCTTTTTTTCTTTTTCTTCGGTAAGATGCACAAAGTGATAGTTAGTGAACTTAAGTAGCGGAAGAATGGATTGATTGATGGCGATGTCCGTGTATGCGACTTCATACGAAAAAATTTTATTACACAATCTCGATTTATTTTCTTTAAGTTAATTATCCCTTTAGCTAGTGTTATTACGATCGATGGACAACTTTATATCTTAGTTTCAAATAAACCTGTCGAAAAGAGAAGAAGGAAGAACGAAAGAAAGAAAGAAGAAAAGAATATGAACGAGTGACTTCTGTTAGGGCTCGGCGAAGTCGAAGGTGGTGGAACAAGGATAGAATGAGGATAGAAAGGGCGTGTTATGCGTTACGTAGGTAGATAAATGGCTCGCTTCGCTGAACTTGTCCGATAGAGATATTAATCTTTCTCACGAACGTGCCAACCCACGGCCACCCCCTCTCTCTCTTACGTCCTTCGTCTAGATATCATCTTTGGTAGTCCTTCTTTCCATGTATTTACCTTTCGTCTTTCCTTTCTCTTCTTGATCTACCTCCCCCTCCTTCATCCACCACCCTCCCCTCACTGGTTCTCCCTACTATTACTCTCGAGTAGTACGACCGTATGAAAAGTGGAATACCATATGTTCGAAGGGGGTGGAATTCGAGTTACGAGTGCTTTAGGAGTGTATAGCCTTTACGGAAATGGCCTTTAATCTTGTTCGATGAAAGTCAAGAAGGGATTTTTTTGCTCGCTTTGACGCGACGATAAAACGCGACTGGCACGGTATGTACGCTTCGTTAGTACGACGTTTTTCTTTTGAATTTTGACCACTCGAAGATTCAATGCAAATTGATAAATCTCTTGTAAACGGAATTGTACATGCTGATATATACATATATATATATACATATATATATATATATATATATATATATATATATATATATATATTATTATCCACGATGTTCTTTATTTTTTGTATAACAGGCGTATCTATTAAAAACATGCACGTGTCTTTTCATGAATATTCAATGTTTCATTAAAACGAATCATCCGGATAATCATCTGATATAGATGACAATATTTTAACATTTGTATAAAGATGTTTCCTTTTTTTCTATTAGTGTCTATCTGCTTTTCTTAATAATACTTTCCTATTAGATAACAGCAAATAACAATAAACGTGGTAAAGAGATAGATAGATAGATAGAGAGAGAGAGAGAGAGAGAAATTCTTCCAACTTCCAGATTGATTGGAGATCGATACTAAGTCGATTGACTCGTTAATAAAGAATTAAAAAAACCTAACTATACAATGTAAAATCAAAAATTCCCACGCGAATTCATAGCGGAAGGTAAGCGACACGTTGTTCTATGCCGTTGATGGTGTCATCGAGGGCAGGTGTGAGGTGGCGGCTTGCATAACGTATGTGATAAAAGGGGTATCAGAGGGGGAGAGTAGATCGGTTGTGCGTGTACTTACACTATGGCGGAAACGACAGTGGAACGCACCGTAAACGTACACCGGGGCAGCCCTGTACGAACGCTTAATATAAGCTAGATATACAACGACATGGGGACGTGGACGTGTAGGTACTAGTGCGATATATACGAGAGCGTACGAGAGCGCACGAGCGCACGAGCGAGCGAGAACAATATAGAATGCGCCATGGGGGTGCATGGTGTGGTATAGTGCGTACCGCGCCATATCGCTGAGCAAGGGACAGATCGATAACGTAAGGGGTCTTCCAGACCTTATGGTGCCTCCTCCACCTCTCTCTCTCTCTCTCTCTCTCTCTCTCTCTCTTTTTTACTACTCTCACCCTTCCTCTTCCTTTCCCTCTTCCACCACTCCTCATTCCAGTTGGCCTCTTTACCCCTCCTCCTCTCAACTTCATTTTATCGCATGAAATTAACGCGCGTTTCCATCCTTGATTTTTTTCTCTCGGAATTACCTCCACCCCGTTGAGCTTACATGCGTTACATGTTTGCATTCGTGCAAATAAATTTTTCTTTGCTCTTTTCTACCCGCTTCACGATCGCGACGATAATCCTGATGGACTATGTAAATGTCACGTTGATAAGTCTCGAAGACGTCTATTTTATAAAAGACCAATGTATGTGACGTTGCGATAGATTTTTTCGTGAGTTATCATTTTCAAGAGAGAGAGAGAGAGACAAATGAAAAGTTTTTTTGAATTTCTTGAATTTTTTAAATTTCCTCCATGTTGCACTCTCCGAGCTGTGTTTTTAATCGAATCTAAGTCGGGTTCGTATAAAAAACGATCTTGCATTCAGTGGCGTGCCAAAAGAAACGACTTTCGGATATGGTGATTAAAGCGATACTTCCGGTGCTCGTCATTGAGCTGCAAAGATAACATCATGCTTCTCGATCACTCATAGAACGCGAACGCTCTCCTTTCATGAGCGGAAGACTTCATATAGATGTGTACCATTGCAAAATAAAGACTATTTGACATTCCGGACTTTACTGGTTCAAGGAAATTCGTTATTTCTAGTTCCAATCGTATAACAATTGATACACGATGAAAGATAATTTCGTATCGGGAGATTAAAGATCAAAAT